TTCAATCCTATTACAGAAGGCGTAAAGTCGAAAGTCTATTAATGAATTGCGGAAGCTCAACCTGCAGGTTCTACGTATCGTACTAATTACTGCTCACTCGTAATTTGGATCATTTTGACCCACATCACGTGAAACATTTGTGTGCGAGGTTTTTTAGCAATAATCATGAAGTGAAAGGGCACGTTTGGCATTTTAGCCCTAACTGTTTGCCCTTTTCACATCGAAGCATGTGAAATGATTATTAGTATTTTCAAAGAATCATTAGTAAATTTGGTTATTGTATACTGTGGTGGAAACAATGAAGCATCTATACCCAATTAATAAAATAGTTATTTATTCAGTCCTGCATTTTTTGCTAATTAACCGACTTCAAAAAAGGAGGTCTTAACTCGTCGAGTACCGGTTTTGTAGACACAATTATAGAACAATAGGTTGCGGTCACCGGTGACCGCTTGGTGTTTGACAGTTTAAAGGGCTGATATTTGTGTGCATGTATGTATTTATGTATAACTATTTGTGGATGATTATCTCGCGAGTGGCTGAACCGATTTTGATGCGGTTGGAAAAGTGTTTGTAACACTTAGGAGAAAGTTTTAATATATTAATTAACCAACTTCAAAAAAGGGAATTTAAGTTGGTGTTTTTAAAAGAATAATTAAAACCCATGCATTTACTTCATATTTCTCCTATCTATATATCCCAACTATAGCAAATGTTCTCGGGTTTTTGTTGCCGTACCCAGTATCACCCTATCCGTAGTAAACAATTCGCCAAACAAACGGACTAGGGACTCGTGGTGTACCTAATTAATTTAGTATCGTCTCGGGAGTTGGGCTAACTAACATAACCCCGATTACTGTTACATTGCAACTTACACATGTTCTGGGATTTAGATGTCCCACATTCGACGTTTAGAAGCTTTTATACAGGGAACAAATTGCAGAGTATAAGAATAATATTCTTCAACTATCTAATCATTTTTACATTTATGCTTTCTTCTCTTTAAAACCTAATGCAGGTAACCAGTCAGTCAGTCAGCCAATCAGTCAGTTAGTTAGTAGTCAGTTTTTATAACGTATCTTTTACCGGAATGTCAAAAATATAAAAATTTTCGTTTATTTTTCATGAAACAGTTATAGTCCAATTTATCTATCCTAAAAATATGTAAAAAAGGAAATCGCTTCACCAGTAACGGTGGTGGTCTTCCGCGACATGTACTATTAATAGCAACCAACGAAAACTCAGTTAAAAGCTTTGATGTCCACGATTTTCTCTCCAAAACTAATGAACGAACTCATCAAAGGATTCTTTCAAAAAAATTGGGGAAATCTGTCCAAATTCCGTTTCGCTGTTGAAAATCACGTTAATTAGACCGCCCTAGCAATCCGTCTTCGACCTTACAAACATCAACTAACGATTATGTCACGTCACTATAAATAAAAACTTACAGAATAGACTTTCTGGTTTATTTTCGATTGCAGAATGACGCACGAGGTGACGGTATATAAATCAGCCCTTCAGTTTTCCTATGGTTGGTATTTATATTTTGTTGTTGTAGGCAACACAGGTAGGTTACCTATTTGTCTATATTTATAGGAGGCGAACCAATGTTTGTCACGCATTCCCTATTGGTTTGATTATTGTAGTGATTCTGAGAAAATTGAAGAAAGAAATCTCTAGGTAATTCATTTAGGTCTGTAAAAATTTGAGTACGGTAAATCTCTAGAACTTCTTCTATCTGTAAATATTTATCATTGGATAATCGACTTTATATTAAAAAAATTACGTTGATAATCGAATAATACAAAGAATTTGAGAGATAGGAGAAGGAATCGTCCTGCTGGTGTCTGTACATTGATACTCATAACCCCTTTGGAACATATGGAACATCATTTTAAAAAAAACTGATAAAAAAACAGTAATTGATTAGTGTGACAAGCTAATTCTAAAGAACCTAAAGTATCATTAAAATGTCATGCTTAATGCTTTGAAACATTAACATTTTTTTATTTCAGATAAAATGTTTTTTTATAATACTAACCAAACCAGTTTCCTCAATTAAAATGCGTTGTGTTACGCACATCAATCTAATAATCTATTAAAATGTCATAAAACAAAACAATATTAATAGAGTCATTAAGTTTTTCCTAATAACTATTGTTTTTATAGCTTTTCACTTTTTTTTTTTTGAGAGTTGTATTGTATAGAATACTGTATACTAATTATATCTAGTTGGTTCTTAAAAACAATTGTAAATAACATGGTATTTTCATGATCAAAACGCTTCTGTGTTTTGTGGGATAGATAGAGGTGTAAATGAGCAGATGGATCACCTGACGGTTAAGTTTATGATAAAATATTTCTCAAATGTTTTGACTGTCCAACATTCATAGACAAATTTGGTATTTTCTCTAGTGTATAGCAAAAAGCAGACAGCATGCAATTTTAGAAGATAATAAAAAAAACTAATATGTATATAGATAAAAACACAATCTCTGCTATTGTTAGAATTCTCTTGATAACAACAGATGTATGGACAAGATAACACAATGTTTACATGAGAATTTTCTTTTATATTTGAGATTTAACACTGATAATGATAAGACTTGACATTCACCTATTTCAATCTGCAAGTTCATTTAAATAATAAAAGTGATTAAACAAAATTTTATGTCTATATCAAATCCTATTTTACTAATCCTACTTCCTACTAATATAATAAACTAGCTTCTGCCCGCGACTTTGTACGCGCAATCTCATTTTCCCCTCGTTCCCGTTCGTGATTTTTGGTAACAAAGCAAAAAAAGTATTCTATAAAAAGTATCCTATGTCCGTCTCCTGGTTCTAAGCTACCTCCCTGCCAATTTTCATCTAAATCGATTGAGGCGTTCTTGAGTTATAAATAGTGTAACTAACACGACTTTCTTTTATATATATAGATGTAACAGTTCATGTTTCTTTGTTACTCCTTCATGGCTGAATAGATTGAGATGAAATTTGGAAAGGAGGTATTTTATGGTCTTTTTTCTAGAGAGTAAGATCATTGAATGATTCATCATTGAATCACTTCTCCTGCCTGGGTGAGGCAGGAGGGAGTGTCAGATTCTTACTAACTAAAAATCACCCCGTTCCTACTCCTGCACTTCGAGCCCGAGCTATGGTAACCTGTCAAGTACTCCGTGTCTAGGTTATGGTCTGGAACAACACAGGAACACAGGCAAAGACTGCTGGCAGAAGCAGTAGCTTCTGTACTAACATAATATGACATAGGCTGTTGGTCTTCTTGTGAGGTACTTGGAACTTGCGTAATTTGTAGTATTATTGTTTTATCTACAGCTTTTTTTATAATAAGACTTTTGCTTTCCACCACTAACTACTTGATAATGAAAATGGATTTAGCTCATTGTTACATACACTGATGTATCTAAATCTTATACAGATTCAAACAGTAATGTTTATTTTTCAAATGTTCTTATACTAACCCATAAATCACCAAGCGGTCACCGGTGACCGCTTTCCACGAATATTACATTACATTATAGACCTTATTTCTAATGTTTAGAGAATACTTTTGTATGACCAAATTTAGGGGATGGATATCAACGGGCTAATAAGGTATATTGGAATTATTCAAAGACAAATCATTTATTTAATTAGACCAACACAAGGAACATTTGTAGTACCTCATATTGGATTCCAAAAATTAATCTTACTTCTTTTTACTAATTTTATAGATGCAAAAGTTTGAGTCTTTGGGTGCATATTTGTTACTCAATCATATCAAAATGAGCCAAGGGCTTGGGGGTGAAATTCAGAATAGGGGTAGATTATGGTCGGGAATAACACATAGGCTACTATTTATCCTACAAGAACGTGGGTGAAGCCGCAGGCAGAAGTTCGTTGTTTATAATACAAAATAATAAAGGTCCAAATAGAATGGAATAAACAAAACAGAGAACAGAGTTTTCAACTTACAACTTAAAATACAGTGGAGCTTTAGTATCATATTTACCTGTTACTATACAAAATTGGAAGCTTCAGAGAAGACAAAGGTAATATTGATTGTTACTAAATCTGATCAAGTTCATCCAATAAATCTATAATTATCACAACTCTTTGTTTTCACACGCAATTACAAATTGAATACACAAAAGCTTATTGACAATACATTATGGAACGTTGAAAGTAGCAAGAGGGCAAACGCGATAAGATCTTCGAAATGCCGGTAGCTAATAATTTATCAATAAACTGAAGGTAGCCGAACGTAACGTCTCTATATGTATAGTATATTGATAACCATGCTTTTTACCTATTTACCTTTTATTTATGATGGGTTTATTTATTTAGGATGTTGATTTCATATTATCATGATCCTATAAACAGCATTTGACTAAAAAATAAGAAAGAAATTCAAAGCAAACCAATTCAAATTCGTACAAACTCATCGGTCTACAACCGTAACTATTTTTGTGTTATCCTCGTATTTACACTAACGGAGACGTGTATTTACGGTGTGCACTTAATGCTTCTTACCATTTTCATGATTTCCAACACCGGTTTCACTGTTTTTAAGAAAATAACAACAAAATATCACAACAAAACTTCCTCCCACGACTGCCGTTTGCAATTTTCTGTACTAGTGATGTGCACTTAGCTGTTTTGTTTGTCTATCATTTTCGTTTCACTGTTTATTTACAAGAAATATTAGATTTATTGATTGAATGAAAATGTGGTTACCTGTAATATGAGAAAATAATTAAATCACATATTCAATGTATTAATTTTCATTTTTATTTAGTTACGGAACTAAATCGTACGATATAATCCTTATTTTTAAATTATCAACATCACTATTCACACAGATAAACACAAATTTACGTTTAGTTTCATAACTTTCAATAGACAAAAGTACTCCAATCGTTCTCTATTACGTTTAGTTTTCAAATGATTATAGAATGGCAATTTTGGAAATAGGTACTTTTTTCTTACAGCAACATTGACATTTTATTGTCAAAAAGATAAATAATTTTACCTTTTGTAAATGCTGTAAAAACTATATTTTTTACTTTTCAGGTCATTTCCATAACATTAAAAGGTACATTTATAAAGCATATTCATCATTTTAACGATATTCACTAAGAAAAACATTATAATTTTTGATAAGTACAAGTCGTGATGTAAGAAGTCAATATTTGAGTATTTTTCGTATAAAAACGCAATGTTTTGTGTCCTAAGTATTAATAGGATATTGGGTGAAGTGTATTTTATGAAACAGTGTTAAAAAATAATGTTCTTTTGGTCATAGATGTTGAAATTAAGCGGGCAAGTGATTTGGAGGTTAGGATCAAGGGCAGCCGTAAGGAAATATTCCGGTCCAAGTGCCACAGTATTCAAAACTGAGAAGCTAGACCTATCCACAAACACATCTGATAAGAGAGTCGAACAACTGACCGGTGACGACAAGGATAATTCAGGTATAATAGTTAATTAACAACATAACAATAACAACCCAGTTCTTAATACAGTTAATTTAGTTTGTCTTATTTAGAACGTTTACAAATATTACAGTTATGTAGAATAAACAAATTTTAAATAATAAGAGTCATAATACCAGCTCTAGTTAAGTAGTACTAAATTAATTATCAACAGTCTTCAAGGTTTCCCATTAGATAATATTAAGGTAATTTTATTAAGTTTAGCAATGTTTCCCTGTGCTATTATTGTTAATGACGATATTCACGAGTACCTGAACATCCCAACGATAAATAGATTGCTATAAGAAACAACACCATGAGTGTCTCGCCCACCATCCCAGTCCACTGGTCATGTATTGACTTGACAATGGTAAATTGTGAAAGGTTAAAGCGACACCTTATAATATAAGTGACAGCAGATATTGGCCAGTTGCACTCAAGAACTGCATCTCACTTCAACACATCTGATTATAGTCTGGCGACTATTTGCAGATCAACATACTTAAAAAAAAACTACATTGTATAAAACAAAGTCACTATCCGCTGTCTGTCTGTCCCTTTGTATGCTTAGATCTTTAAGATATTGATGCAGTTTTTTTTAAACTGTCAAATACCAAGCGGTCACCGGTGACCGCAACCTATTGTTCTATAATTGTGTCTATAATGACGGTACTCTACCAGTTAATAGATAGAGTGATTTATAAGTAAATTTTATATGTATAATGTGCAAAGCCAGGGTGTGTCCCTAGTAGAAATATAAAAGAAAAATTATTGTTAGTATTAATAGTTCACTGCTAGAGAGGTATATCTAAAGAGGTATCTCTAACACAATCAACATGACACTACCAAACTAAATCTTCAGTGGTTTTGTATGCAACATGTCAATATTTTTTCTAATACTCGCTGCTAGTATTTCTGCTAGCAAGTTTGAATACATTCAAAGTAGCCGATGTTATTCTAGACCACAATCGACTTTTGATCCAAATTTCATACCAATCTCTTCAGCAGTTTTGATGTAATTTACAAACTCGTAAATGTTTGTTCATCTATTTACATATGTATAATAAATATTTTACATTTTACATTACAGGCTTAGTAGCAGCAGCATTTGCTTCCCTGCAAGACATAGACACACCATTAGTGAAGAAGCCGAGTCCTAAATCAGCGAAGATAAGTCGCTTGGCACATTTAGACGGACAGATATCACAGGCCACTGACTTGAATGCATTGCTAGTTGTTGCTGAAAACCCTGTTGTATCTCGGAGACATGCTTTGAAGGTGAGTTTTTATAAATTTATCATCATCATCATCATTTATCTCCAAAGGGGTAGGCAGAGGTGCACATTATGGCACTTAATGCCACTGTATAATGTAATACCCACTTTTCACTATTTATGTTATGAGTCCCATGTAATAGTGGGTGAGCCTTTTGCCATATACCGGACACAATTTCACTTGGCCAATGTTACAATTTATAAAATAAAAAATGTTTTGATTACTATAAAAACATCATGTCTGTCATTGAGAATGGAAAGGTGTTATTGAAGCAGATAGACTCAGACTGTGATTGTTACTGTATAGAGTACTTAACTATGAAATTAAAATTAATAATGTTTTTGGGTTGTCACCGAGTCATTATCAGTTTTGGCTGAATGTCAGTACTTTATGTGAAACATTAGACAGATTTATAAAGGTTAGAATAGCCAAGTGTCACAGGTGTTTGTATGATTTTTTTTTTAATTTCAGATGGTATCAATTCTCTCAGAATGGACAACCACTAACAAAGTCAAGCTAACAGACTTTGAGAAAGATCCTCGGTTTCTCAAACTGTGCAGGATCCTCGCCAGGTCCACTACATCACATACAATCGGCTCTCTGACCATGGCAGAAGATTTGAGTACCGTATTGGGCATCACAGGAGATGATGAAGCAGCCAGATTAATAACAAACTTGACACTACCACAGATGATCAAAGTGAGTTGGTTATGATCCTTATTCTAATAATAATTTTTAATTCTTCAAAGGGTTAATGTCCTCTCGCGTCTGGCCCTAGTGCGGGTCATGACGCGGAGCGAGGGGGACTGGGATGCCGTCTCCTCTTTTTGCGAAGCAGTCATGCTAGCTAAGGAGGAGGCGGGACGCGTGAGGCAGCGAAGCGCTGCCTCCTCGCAACACAGAAATCGCGAAGGACACACCGGGCGTCGGGGATCGCGGGACGATCTCCGGCCACCGTAAGCGCGGGCCTGCGGACGGCGAGCATGGGTGGCTCGCCGTCCGACCAGAAACAGGCCCGAGCGTACGGCGCGTCGCATTCCGCGCGCGCCTCAAAGAGCCATCAGACCACAACGGATGGGGCCCAATAGGGCTGATGCCAATACGGAGCCGCGGAGAACTTAACGGGTTACCGGAGCTCCGGTTCAAAGTGCATTAGTAGGACCAGGGTAATTTTTTGTCAGTAAGTGTTTGACACTCCCTCCCGCCTAATCTAGGCGGGAGAAGTCATTCGATGGTTTTCCTCCCTTAAAAAAAAGGATTAATGTGACCTATTGTGGTTTGTGTGAATAAACAGTAGTTTATGAAAAACTACGTTTAAAAAACCCTCTTTTTTCAATTTATTTACATACTAAAATCTAAGTGTAACGAAAGACTTCTGAAATTGGTTCAGTCAATTGTGAGATGATCGCGCACAAACATACATACATACAGGTCGAACTGAGAACCTCCCTATTTTTGTAAAGTCGGTAAAAAAAAGCGATTTTACTTAGAACATTTCTGTATTGCGCTCTTTATTTATTCGATATTAGGGTGGGCAACAGCATATGCAAGCGTCTTATGACTGCAACCTATAAGATTGAGAGACCCTCAATAAAACAATCGCTACAGTCCCTGTACGTACTTAATGTGCCACAAAATAGTGTACAATACAGTTTCACAACCACAAGTAATAGGAGTTTGACCAAAAATTAAATATAATTACTTCTTCAGGTAATGAAAGCCCTGCAGAACAAAGGTCGGCGCAGCACTCCATTACTACGCGCGCTCTCCCACAACATTACCAACCAGGCCGAGATCATTGACCTCAAGAAGTCAGCTGACCTCCTCTACGCTATGGCCGCACTGAACTTCCCCGACCCTGTACTGTTAGATAGGATATGCAAGTAAGTATCATCATTATCAATAACGGTGTCCATTCCAGTCTACTGCTAGACTGTAGTCCTTCTTTACATATGAGGAATTTGTCATTATAATATCTACGGCCTTAAGCAGGTCGTGGTCGTGACCTTAAGGTTGTAGTGTCGTGGTCGCCCGGAGGCTAAGATGCCCGCTTCTCATGAGAGTGCGGGTTCGAACCTACCGACGGCAAGTACCAATGTGACTTTTTCAGAGTTATATGTACTCTCTAAAATATTTACATACCACTGACAAATGGTAAGGAAAACATTGTGAGGAAACCTGGGCTTATCATTTCTTATTATAAGTTTGAAATCGCAAACCCGCATTAAGCAAGCGTGATGATTAATGCTCAAACCTTCTCTGTGTAAGAAGAGACCTTTAGTGAGCGGTGGGCACATATAGGCTAGGTACCTACCTAGCCTATATGTGCTCACTATAGTGACCTCACTAACGTAGGTCAGCGGTGCTGCGGTCTCTGTTAATTAGCTCTTAATAGTAAGCGTTTAAGAAACCTCTGGGAAGAATGAGGGTATTGACAAATAGCATCACACGGCAAACAAGTTTGTTGCAAGTCAAAATTTGGCTGAACTTGGTTTGAATCTGAATCGTTTCTTCAAAAACCGTTGCATGTCAGTTGCAGTTACGACTACACAACCTTTTTACAAGCAAAACTTTAAGTTCACATCAACCTTAATTTTATTCCTTTTCACAGTGACGTCATAGAATGTCTGCCCTCAAACGAAGACAAATCAGCGGTGGTGAACTCTATAACCACTTCGCTTGGTCTCCTGAAGTACCGACACGAGCCCGTGCTGTCGGCCATCACCGACTGGTTGCACCAGCACGTAGCGCAGTGCCGCGCCACTGACATCGCGTCGGCGGTCGTCACGCTAGCTACCGTGGACTATCTCCCACCTTCAGATTCAGCGCAGGGTTTGATTCAGGTTAGTATTTTTATTTATGGAATCGGAGGCAAACGAGCCGACGGATCACCTGATGGTAAGCGATCAGCGCCGCCCATGGACACCCGCAACACCAGAGGAGCCACAGGGGCGTTGCCGGCCTTTTAAAAAAGAATACGCTCTTTTTTTGAAGGTAAATAGTTAACTTATTTCAAGAATAATGGAAACTACAAATTATTTTTTACCTATTGATATTTATTTGTCTTTAGACATTTTTATACTAAACTACACAATACATTTTAGTGTCAAAGTGATCTATTTACTTAGAAAACAAGGTGATTACTTACGTAACTGTTCGAGCTTACTCGACTAGTTTCAAGCCACGATCGGAGCTCATAATTAAAAGTGGCATTCGCATCGACCGACTGCGTTGCACATGTCACGCTACGTCCGCATTGTAATATGGTTTTTATCGACATTCTTAAAAATTAACGGACAAATAATTATGGAACATTCTGTAACATGAAAGTAATATTTTAATATCTCTTCTCCAGACCGCCCTATCCCTGAAAGAAGAAGAGATGACCAAGTCCTCGTCCTGGTTGGACCTGGTGTTCTCCCTGCTGATCCTGAACAAAGCCAAGAAGACACAGCTAGAGTCCACACTGCAGCCTGACTTCATTGACAAGCTGCTGTCTGCTGGTGGTAAGCAACTTTATTAATGTAATTACAGGAACAACTTGGTTACAGTTGGGTAAAGGACATAACCTTTGTTTTAATTTTATTACTCCATCATGGTCTAAGTTATGCCAGGTAACAACATATGGTAAGGTACTTTTGCTCTTGTCCATGCGCATTAAGTGTCGGAGAGCCATGCTTCGGCACGAACGGGCCAGCTCGACCGGAGTGGTACCACGGCTTCACAAAAAAACCCCTCCCCCCAGTCTTTCTGATCACTGAATCCCCACAATCCTCGAATTTTCAATTCCCAAAAGGCCGATAACGCATTTGTAACGCCTCTGGTGTTCCAGGTGTCAATAGCCAATGCCGATTGCTTACCATCAGGTGATATGTCTGCTCGTTAACTGGCTTATCTCATAAAAAAATATTAATTTTATTTTGAGATTAAGTAACTACAGATTTTAAGTTCTTCTCTAATATAATTATATACACTTTGATATAATTATGAAACTGATTTCAAACTGAATAAAAAATTATCTCATTCATGTCCAAATATTCAAACGCCTCTCAATTTTAAGACGGGCTTAAATATAGTTCTGTCTCTACAAATTCTTTGTAAAATGACAGAGACGACACAATTTTCAAGTACAACTTACAATATTTAGTAGCCTTTTATATTCGGGCTTCATTCAGTTAAACTTAGGCTACAAATAATTTTTTCTTCACTCTTCAGAGATACCGATACCTTCTCGACGTAAGCTGATGATGATCGACGCGTTCCTCCACCTGGCCAGTCCAGGGTCCCCTCGCCTGCCTGAAGATATATCAGTCGGTGTGCCAGTAGTATACACTAAGGAGAAAGCATTCTACGTCCAGAGCATCATGGACACATTCAAGAGCTTCGTCTCCGCTGAGGCGTTTTTGAAAAAGGACTGTAATTCTGGCATGGGATTTTTGTATGGTGAGTAATTTGTTATCACATTTTTGTATTTTGATTTTGATTTAACTGTTTTCACTAATATCTCATAATTTTTAAGGAACACTTAAGCCGTCACAGTCAAAGCATTTATTTCAATTAAACTATAGTTTGGTACTTTTGAAACGTCAACAAATACAAAATAAATAATAGTCTGTCAGTCAGTCCGTCAGTGAAATTAGGTGAAGCTAGGTGCTCATTCCAAAACTTTGATTCGAATGGAGAAGAACGAGCAAGAAACTTTTTAGTTACTCTTTTAAAAAAAGTGAGCTGAGATCGGTAACACTGAATGACATTTTTATTTTGACCAACCTAGAACTCCTAGAAGTGGCACATAATGATAAATGAAACCTTTCCTAAACACTTTAAGTTTCACCTAAAGGTAAAAGAATCCTTACCTAAATACTATTAGTTTAAGTGCTCCTTCACACTCAGTAACACCTAGTTAAGAGATTGTTTAGGGATGGTTGGTAAAAATTACCGTAAGTGTAACCTCGATCGACGAGCGTCCATGAAGAGCTAAGAAAATGTATAATGGACCGAAAAAAAGTGTGCCAGAATCTTACTAGCGTTATGTACTTTTTTCAGATGCGGAGTTCGCAGTGGATGCCAAATGCCACCCTGTACCTTTAGATAAAGCTGAAAACAACAAAAGGTAATAATAATATACTCATTTTCTTAAAACAATTATTGAATAAATATGAACTCTATTTTTAACACAATAACGTCTAAATTCCAGCGTGTTCCGGATAGCGGTGCTAGGTTTGGACTACCACGATATGGCTAGGAAGTCTGCCGTGCCGCTCGGCATCAACCAGCTTCATACTAGGTTACTTGAATTAAAGGTATGTAGACGAGAATATAATGATAGTGTGATAGAGTGGGATAATAAGAGTGAGAGAGAAAGGGAAAAGGAGAGGGACAGGAGAATGTGAGATAGATCGGTAGATAGCGAATCAGAGATAGAGTGAGAGAGGGGTAGAGTAAGAGATAATATACTAGAGGTACTTTGCTCTCTTAGTACTTTTCCTATAAGTAATAGTGTTGGGTGATGTGTAAAGTTAGATGACACTTATTTTTTTATTTTTGCCGTACATATCTATTAAGTATTTATTCTAATGACAATTACTTGCATAAATATGTACTTATAACTGATTTTCTAATTCCAGGGCTTCAAAGTACTCCAAATTCCATACACAGAGTTCAGTCCTAAAGACAAGTTGGTGACCAGAGTGCAATACATAGAAAAGAGATTAAAGGAGATTGTCAACAAGTCAGGTCAGACGTAGGCATCCTAACTTAGGTACTAGACACTGTGAGCTGGGTCACCTTAGGTTCAATGTATACTAGCGCAGAGTCGAAGCTTATCGGAGCGTCTTTCCAAAACCGAACATAACAAATTCAACCTTAACTGCACAGCATAACGCACATATTGCTTCTGTGATTTGAATAAGCGTTTTCACGTGCAAGCGCGCGTATGAGGCCTTACGTATTGTCCACAAGATGTCGCTAGTGTTCACACTCGTTCGTCCAATGGGGAATTAGCTAGTGTTAGCTAACATTGGACGTTCAACATTTGACAGCTGCTAAAAAACCCCTTTAGTCTTAAAAGTCCCGCTTCTCATGAGGGTACAAGTTCGAAACCTGCCAACGGCAAGTACCAATGTGACTTTTTTCGAGTTATATGTACTTTCTAAGATTATCTAGAGACGCCACCAGTTTCCACTGACAAACGGTGAAAGAAAACATCTTGAGGAAACCTGGGCTTATCATTTCTAAATATAAGTTTGTAATCGCCAACCCACATTGAACAAGCGTGGTGATTAATGTTCAAACCTTCTCCGTATGAGAAGAGGCTTTGCTCAGCAGTGGGCATTTATAGGCTGTTGATGATGAAGATGAATGTTATGCTGTGGACTTAAGGTTGAATTTGTTATGTTCAATAAAATTATGGAAAGACGCTGCGATGAGCTTCGACTTTGCGTTAGTATAAATTGTACCTAAGTTACCTGGTCGCTATTGTAATATACTGATATATGTATGTATGATTGTTATACAAACATCGTAAGGTATATGATATTGTTTTTGATACAAAACTGGACTGCTTGAGTAAGCGGTATTGGAATCGTTTTGTTAAATGTTTTTGTATGACGTCGGTTGGTCAGTTTGTTCTCGGTTTTCTAAAAGGAGTGGTTGATACGGCTTAGGAGAATAAAGTTTTTTTTTTAATTTACAGCTGTATGGGAAAAACTAAATAAGTCATTGTTAACGAAACGATTAGAAAAATCAATATACTTGATTTTCGCCGGTATTGTGTTATGTATTTTGTATTAATTACACCGTGAAATCTATTTTGTTTTCGTCCCGCGGCAAAACAACTTGCCCTAAGGAGTACTTTTGATTAATAAACTAAAAAAAAAGTTAAGATGTCATTTTTTTAACATGGAACACTACGCGTAAAATAGGCACTATTCGCATCGCACGTGCCACGCGACGTGAAATACCTCTTCGAGAATTACGTAGCGTGATGTTTTGTTAATGTACTATGAGTTAGTATGCGCTTTCAAAGTTCGCTTTTTACAATGGTTCATCAGTTATTTTTTGTTTTAAACACTTTATTTCTTTGTAAAACTATTGTATTACCGAGGCAGAAGCATTTTACTTCGGGACGCAACCGAAAAAGTTTTCACCGTGTATACAAGATTATCTTTACTTGAAAGATTCCCGGATCGGTCACACTTTCGGAAAATAAAGAATAAGTCAGTTGTTCCTTTGGTATTGGTACATATCTTTGAGGTACAGTCAAAGGTCTAAAGTCCACTGCCACCGTGAGTGACGTTCACACAGCAATGCGTAAGTAATTTCATATTAATGTGCATAAAAACGCGCGCGTACGCATAAACACACGCACGCGTACGCACACGGATACAAATTCGCATGTGCATGTGTGTATAAGCGCTGCAGCGCAACCGATAGTAGTCTTACGGTGGCAGTGGACTTTTGACCTTTGGCCGTACATAAGGACTAGTTAAATGATTAATAAACCAGACAGGCCATACTGACCTCATTACAAAATAGCTACATGATAGACAAACGTTAGAAATGTATAGACCATCGCATGGTTCACTATTTTTGCCGGCATACAGTAATATTGTTGTGTTGTACCCTTATTTATAGCAAAAATATGATGACAAGATAAAGTATGTTTTGTTCCATTATTTTGTAAATCTACGTGAACAAATATGAACTCTATGGTCTAAGTTACTTAAAGTTCATTTCTGTATAAAAAGCTTAACTCTCACAAGTGCATTAAAAATTCCAGTTTCATTGGAAACTACGCTTTATGCAGATATCATAAAGTTAGTTTTTAAAATCAAATGTTTTTAAATCGGGAACGTTATTTTCGTATGTATGCGGTTACCATGCGTATGTGTTAGAACCAAACCGTATTCATGTAATTTATTAGTTAATTTTATGTCTGGGTTAGTTAAAACTTCGACCAATATTGGTGGCCAACACCAATGGTACCTGGCCTTAGTTTACGTACTTATAAAGTTCCTCTGCCAAGCATTGGACATAACGTTGGCATTGGTAACCAGTGTTGGCGATGGTTACGATTGTATACAAATATATTTTTATTGTTATCTGTTGACATGTCAGTGGATAGGGTAAAGTATTATTGGTCTTTCTATCTAGAAATTCTTAATTATGAAGTCTGAATTTACATAAAACTCGTAAAGTAGTATACCTTTAAGGATTAACCACTGTGAAGGTCCGACTATGTTCTCTAACAACAATTACTTATTGTTTAAAACAAAAATATATTTGTATACAATATCTGTTGGTATATGTTGACAATGTATGTTTGTGTGCGTGGTATGTAGATACGGCTGTTAATATTATTATTTAAATAAAACAGATTTAACAATAACGCAAGTATTTTATTTTTTCTAATAAATTAATATAATCTATTTATAAGTACCGCAGTCATAGCTTTTTATTTAATTTCAAACAATATGCCATTGACGAGGTGTCGAGTGGATATTACATTGGCCCCTTAGGGTTAGTACATTAAAAGGGTCGAAGCCATGAAGAATGTTAATGATATAAAGCAACATTATTTTTTAATTTACTTTGTTAATTATGTACTTTAACTCTCTCTAATTTACATCAAGTGAAACGCATTCTTTACATATTTGTAAGACAAATTATATAACAATAAATTGACAACTATAATTTTGACCTCCTAACCACATTGGCTTAGCTTGGCTTAAAACATTATGTTTCCTCTTTCCCTGGTTGTCAAAGGTTCAAGGTTGTTTCAGCCTTGATATAAAATTAATATTTTTGACCATGCAAAAACATCTGGTTCCGGATATCGGAATTTTATAAAACATTGCGAATTTAATGCAAACATCGTCTGCTATCGTCCGTGTATGCCGTTTGCCATGAATCTGAAACAATAATATTATTGTAATTGACATTTTAATTACGTTTTTTTGTCTTCATAACGAAGTTGGAATGATATTTTTGTCTTTGTGACCCTTTTATTGACTTAGCTCTGTTTAGGACGCAGGAGCTTGCTAAGACAGGAATTTGCAAAATTCGACCCGTTTTTTTTAAAGGGTGAAAATCATCGAATGACTGCTCTCGTCCGGGCGAGGCGGGAGGGAGTGTCAGACTCTTACTGACTAAAAACCACCCCGTTCCTTCTCCTGCACATCGAGCCGGAGCCCCGGTAACCCGTTAGGTTCTCCGCGGGTTACGGAGCCGCGGAAGACTTAACAGGTATTAACAGCAGTAGGAACGGAGTGGTTTTTAGTCAGTAAGAGTCTGACACTCTCATCTAAGGTGGGAGAAGTTATTAGATGACTTCCTCTCTCAAAAAAGGGGTTTTAGGTTTTTGTATCTCCGGTTTCTGTCGACTTAGGGCTACGGGTTTAACGTAGCCGTTTCGTAGACAGTTTTCATTGTTTCTAAGCTAGATGCAAGCATTTGTCATTTGTAGGCTACCTATTGTTTGTTAAGGATGCATGCATTCATTCAACGTAACATGGACAGTGTTATACTAATTTATGTAGTCCCAATACACAGTGACGTACCGTGGGTACCGGCCGCGCTGGCCGGGAGACAATGTTGCCACCCTCTTATTTAGGTATTTCTATTAACATTAGATACGTACATTAATTCTGTGTGTGGTGCCGATGTGTCATAGTCGCGCGAAGGTAAAGGTGCTGGTGTCATAGGAAGGGGCGGATTTGAAACCTGGTAAGTAATGTGACGTTTTTCCAACTTATATGTATTCTCTAAGTTATAGAGACACCATATACGGTGGAGGAAAATATAGTGAGGAAACCTGGACTTGAAATTTTAATTTTAGTTGCCAACCTGTCTTGAGCAAGCATGGCATCGTGATTAATGTTCAATTTCTCCGTGTGCGAAGGCTTTCCTTTGCTAACCAATGGTCAATTACAGACTGATTACAATGATGACATTACTTCTAGAGAACTGTTTTTCAACATCATTATTTTGCATAATAAACTACAGCTTTGTTGTGCAAGTATGTGGACATGAAATTTCGCACCCGGGGCGGGCTGCTCCTCTCCCATACGGTACGCCACTGACAATACCTATATTATACATTGTACATTTAAGACAACTTTTTGACGAAACTACTCGACCAGTTTCAAGCCACGCCAAGAGCCCAAAATTTTGAGCAGTATCAGCGATCACATATGCGCGAATTATTATCATGTGCCCCTAGTATAGTACCTAATTATACCTTCAGCACGCTTGAATTGCCTCGATGGCCGAGTGATCGCAAGTTCGACAGCCGGGCAAGAGGTCTCAAGTTTGATGCCCGGGTAGGGCAAAGTATAATTAGGGCTTTCAAAAAAAATCTCAGTAGTAGCACGGAGTCTGGAATCGTATCCAATAGATTGGCAATAAGTTCAACCCTATTATATGGGACTCATAACATAAATAGTGTAAGTAAAAGTGGGTATTACATTATATAGTAGCATTAAGAGCTGTAATGTGCTCCTCTGCCTACGTTCGGGGTTAAAGGCGTGATGATATATATTTATTACGAACTCGTTCAAAGTAATAATATACTTACGTGCCAAAATTCTTGAAGAAATCAGTGACCGCCTTGCCGACGTCTACGAAAAACTGCACGATCTGTGGCACCTTGACCTTGGTTTCCACCGGCATGTACACCACCTGCTGGTTTACTCTCTGCAGACTCCTGAAGTTGTGCCGTACTATGCCTATGTTGGCGAACATGCGGTACTGGAGAAGAGAGACTTTGGTGAGGAAGAATAGAGAGAGGATCATTTTCATGTGGTGTTGGTGACGGTGGCCCGGAAGTTAAACTAATCTTCTTGCCTCTCAAGAGTGGAGGATGCAGTTCGAATCCGAAGGCAAGTACCAAGACGACCTTTGTTAACATGTATAATTTCTACGTATATTTATAATTTGCTCGAATCTTTACTAAAGAAGAAAAAGAAAAGAAGAAGAAAAAAGAAGTCGAAAAGAGAGAGAGAGAGAGAGAGAGTGGGAGAGAGAGAGAGAGAGACAGAGATAGTTATTATAGGCACCTCTGACATGCAATATAGGAAAACATCGTAAGAAAATCTGCGGGATTGTTTGACGTCCTGAAGTCAGAATGATTCCATTGAGGGAAAGAAACAGACCTATAAGTCGTCTAGCGAGATCTCGTTCCCTCAACGGAACCATTGTGGCTTTAAGACCTGGAGATATACTTTCAAGTTAACGTGGTAGGTACTCATTCCTACTTCGTATGAGAACAGACCTTTATTGAGCAGTAAGACATTTTGACATTGAGCAGAGACGGTTGATAAAGCAAACCTATTTAATTATGTAAGATATGAAAATACGTGAACCTGTGCATCCGTTAAGAATATTGGCGATGTGAAGATGATCCAGGTGACTGCCTCGTTGCAGTCAGGTGACGTCAGGGACCCCGCGTATGTGTAATATGACGACTTGTCTACATTTAACAGCTTTCTGGAAAATAAAATACTTGCCTCAAGAAATCGAATATACTGACTGTATTGGCTTCACTTATGTACCTAATGAACCGGCGAGATAACACGACGCTTGTCCACTCAGCTCTTTGCTGTCCATTCCGCAACGTCGACGCATCGCACTCGCTCCTCATGAATAACATTCCCCGAGTGACGTGAAAGTAGTAAAGTGTAGTTCACGTGAGTAATTTCATGATAGTTATTAGGTACTATTCAAAACATAAGTATGTACAATGCAAGAGCAATTTAATTTGGTACCTACTAACAAGTCATAAAAAGACAATTTAAAACCCAGCCCAGGTATGTAGGTACTTAATTTGGTACTCAAAGGAAGTCGGTTATCAATTTATCAAATTCAATCGTTCGTAACGTCTTCCTAATTCCAACCAATTAGCTACTTATCTTTAATTTTCGTGTCCTTAAGAAATGCATTTTTAAATTTTAAGGTGGGGAAAAAATCGGTAATATACATACGTAATATACTATATTCAGTAAGTATTCGTCCGAAACGTGATATAAAATTACGTTGATCTACAAGGTAGCTATGTATTTAGTTGCTTAAGTGTGGGAGAGCCATGCTTCGGCACGAATAGGCCAGCTCAACCGGAGTGATATCACGGCTTCACAGAAAATCGACGTGAAGCAACGCTTGCATTGTGTGTCGTCGCTTGCATTGTGTAACTGAAGTTACCGGAGGCCCAATTACCCCCTCCCCTTCCCCAATCTCCCAAATCCCTGAATCCCCAACGATCCTCAAACTCCTAATATCCAAAAGGCCGGTAAAATTCTTGTACCGTGTCTGGTACTTATTCCAGGTGTCTATGGGCGACGTCGATTGCTTACCAGAAGGTGATCTGTCTGCTCGTTTACCGGTTTATGCCATAAAAAAATGGTACATGTCCAGATGTCGATACTTATACCTCAACATGCTTTACTGATTTTACGAGTGGCCAAAGGCAGTTTCACGCTGGTTTTTTGTAAGGCACGGCCTTATCACTCTTACATAATACAGAATACAACTAGAAGAGTTGATCTCCTAAGTGAGAATGAGAAAAAAAAAAGAAAAATTATTTGTCTCGTTTTCGGAAGTGTTCCGCTTACATCCCAACTAGTTACAGGGTAGTTTCTACTTATACCTAGCTGTTATTTTTAGTTTGTTAGTTATTATGGTCTAAGGTACTCACGTCATATCGAGGAGCACTCCGCTGAGTCGGTTTCCTGCCCTCATTAGCTTCGGGACGTGCGTCATCACTTCTGACATATGTAAATCGCTGTCTTCTAATTCACTTTGTACCTGTTATATTCAAACATACACGTACATTCATTACAGCGGTATAATAAAGTGCCATTCGGGCCTTGCAGAAAGAAAGTATAGAGCGCCACCTATTACGGTTCGTTTATCAAAATCAAGAAGTTCTTTAACTTGGTGCAGGGTTCCTCATATCATGCATTGCAACGGGCTTCTCGTCTTTATGACATTTGAATATCTGTGATCACTCAACAAAACCAATGTGATGTGACCCACGTTGAATTATATACCTCTAGTTAAAAGGGTCTGGTATCATCCAGGCTAGACTTTTCGAGCAGGTTCACCGAAAAATTCCCCGGAAAGGTTCCTGATAACTGTTTTACGTGTATTACCCCTTCCCAGTCTCCCCAATCCCCGAAACCCCCACAATCCTCAAAATCCCAATTCCCAAAAGGCTGGTAACGCACTTATAACGCCTCTGGTGTTCCAGGTGTCCATGGGCGGCGCTGATTGCTTATTACATGGTGATCCGTCTGCTCGTTTCCTACTTAACAGCTGTTAATTTGTATTTACCAACACAAAAATATGGTAATAATATAAAAATGCTCTTCAATGGAAAGTAAGGTACAATTTCCAATAAAAAAATTGAGGCAACCTTTCGAAACTTCTTTGATAAACTTCACAGTACGTGTCATGGCGGCAAGGTCGTAATTAATGCAATCATCAGCACTGTTAAAACTGTGTTAAATATTTCGTTATTACATATTTTTTAAGTACCTACAGTGATAACATCTCTAATTACTGTGGTTATTGTTTTTATTTTGCTCGGATTTATCACGGGCTTTGCAAATTAACACTCGAGTTGGTATTTATTAGGCTTGACATACGAATTTAGTGCTTAATTATGTGCCATTAGGTAAAATGTTAATAAAATTGTCGTTAATTGGCTTATATTTAGTTATTCTGTTGATTACATGGCAGAATTAATTAGCCTATGTTAAATGTTATAATCTCACAATCAAGAAATCTTAAATAGGTACTGAATGGGTTCTGATGACATCCCAGAATAAACCTTGAAAAAACCGTATTTCTGCCAGTCATCATTCCACGCGGACGAAGTCGCGGGCAAGAGCTAGTTGGCTTATATTTAGTGCTAATACTTACATCCCCTTTCTGAAACACAGAGGCGAACAAAACATTCATTTTATAGAATCATTTGCGTTTTTCATTTTTGATTGTGTTACTGCCGAATAATTTGACGTGTATTTCTACATATAAGAAAGGTGTAATAATCAGAATGTGCCTAGCAATTTAATTATAGTAAAATATAATGAACTATCGCAAAAAATAAAGAAATGAAATTTCATAGAGGACTCTTAATAACTCATGTTCAAATTCTTTTGGAATTAAAGACAGAAAAATAGCTCTTTTACATTGAAATTGATAGTTATTCTGCTTGGTAATAGAGGTAAAGTAATGTCTTGAAACACAGGTTGCATAAACCTAGTTCAAGCTAATCGCTACAAATATTAGTATTAGTCCTCTTATTTTTTTCGTCCATAGTTTTGAGCATAATAATGTAGGTATTATTATCTAGTTATTAACTCCTTCTCTATCTAGTTATAAAATCCAATTTTACTTTAATATTGTAATTAGTATTACTAACTATACACAAAAGAAAATTGATGTCCTATTTATTAGTCTTGATATATATATAGTAGTTTTACAGCTAAAGTCCTAAATAACTTTGCGATATTTTAAATATTTAGCCGCAGCGCGATAGGTATTTAAGTATTTATTTTTGTTGCATAGATAAAAGACAACAGTTATGTATTTTTAACTATTAATATTTGTGAAGTTCTCTAGTGAACTGACTGCCTCATTGGCAAGGGTTCTCGGGTTCGATTCCCGGGTTGGGAAAAGTATAACTGGGTTTTAAAAAAGATTTCAGTAGTAGCACGGAGTCTGGAATTGTGCCCGGTATATGGCAATAGGCTCATTCCCTATTACATGAGACTCGTAACATAAATAGTGAAAAGTGGATGTTGCATTGTACAGTGGTATAATATGCACCTCTGCCTACCCCTTTGGGAATAAAAGGCGTGATGTTATGTTATGTAATGTATGTTCTCTAATGAACAGAAATCGAAAACTGGCAGACGATGGAAAATGTTGAGAATACTGCTGCCTACTTCGCAGTCTGGTTGGTTGGTTATTTTAGCCTAAAATATATTTTTAGGACATGCGTGACGCGAAGGAAGTGTAATTATTAATCCCCTACATGATTTATGTCTTTTTTCATGTTTCCCAATTTTTTATGCTATGACTTGAGTAAACTTGAGTAAACTTAACAAGTTGTCTTAAAAAACTTACGTTGCCAAAGACGGAGATGATGGCCAGTCCGTCCTTTCTATGCAGCGCCTGATTCACCGTGAGATCCGCTCTTACGTGGACGAAGTGTATCTCCATTGGATACCTGAAAGAATGTTATTAGTCTTCCTATTTTTTTCTTAGGTAGGCACGTACCATATAACTTTATGTACGATACCAGGTTAATTTAACTTCAGGCATATGCAATGACGCCATATTTTATCCCACATTTTAAGTGTGGGAGAGCCATGCTTCGGCACGAATTGGCCGGCTCGACCGGAGGAATACTTCTAGGGTCTTCTATGCGGCTGAGCCTCATAGAAGACCGACGTGAAACGACTTTTGCGTTGTGTGAGTGAGGTTATCGGAGGCCCAATTAGCCCCCCCCCCTTTCCCCAATCCTTGAATCCCAACAATCCTCAAATTCCTAATCCCAAAAGGCCGTTAACGCACTTGTAACGCCTCTGGAGTTCCAGGTGTCCATGGCCGACGCCAATTGCTTACCATCAGATGACCGTTTGCTCGTTTACCGGTTTTCTGCCATAAAATAAAAACAGTACATTCAAATTAGGTACTATTCACTTTTCGATTAATTTATGATAAATAGTAGTGAGGTGACCATAAAAATATGCTGTCACAATGAAGAATCCAGTGAAATATTCAAAGAAAATTGTGGTTTACGAACCTTCCCTTATTTACCTTTTACAAATATCCCAATAAATAAGTTAAGTAACTTACTTGATACCATTAACGGCGTGTTCCGAGAGCCAGTGGAAGTGTAGCTGTTCTAGCCTGTACCGGTGTTTGAGAGGCCCCCCGGAGACCAGCGGGTGCATTAGTTCCTCCCCCTCCGTGCTGAATTGTACTGAAAAAACATTAAACCTCGTTGGTAAACATTCACGTGGGAGAACTAGTACTCCGGTAATGCATTTGCAACTTATTTTTTTTAGGTTAGGTAGTGTTTAATATTATGTCTAAAGGCGGCACCGACCTGCTTACCATTTGGTTGGAGGAGATCATCCCTGGTTGGAGATCGCAGTATAAAAGACTTGTCAGAGACTACTGCTGCATATTTGTCAAATGGGTAGCGCTGGTGTAACTCGAGGGTGTAAAGTTGGCCAAATACCACGGGCCCCGAGCAGGAATTCATTGGAATTTCTTTTTTATTGGGATCGGGACCCCATCAGATGAATCTGATAAGCGCCTCGAACGGTATATCTACGCTACTGATGGGTAGTACCTTGATTCTCTCGTACCTAGTACTTTGACTGTCTCCTACGATACCCAGGGAAAAGTAGGTCGAAATGCTATTTCTTTTCAGATATTTTCAACAGGATTCTAGAACCTGTACCTACGTACTGACGTAGGCACGACGTAGGTATGTATATGGGGACTGGATTACTTACTAGTATGACCATTATTGATTCCAGTGGTGAGAACCTTCTGGTATCCTGTGAACTTGAGCGGACCATACTTGATGAATTCCTTCCTGAAGTCCCGCACCACATCTTGAGTCCTGATGTCGATGGGAGACTGCCGTTTGCCGCCTGACTGGCAGAGTTTGCCTGGCCACTTGCTTTCTTCTACAAAATTCATTAAAAATGTTACCATCCACCATTTGAAGTAGTTTTGTAAAAGTCACCTGTTTCTATGATGAAAATTCAACAAAACGTGAACTAGGTAAAAGGTTTTCTCAATTCGTGAATGTTCTCATTCATGTAATTGCTTTGTTGGTGCATTTTCATAAACATGTAGGTACCTTTTTTTAGGAGATAAATCATTCAATGACTTCTTCTGCTTCAGGTAAGGTAAGAGATAGTGCTTTCGGTTCCTACTCCTGCTTTAAACCTACTACGTGTTTTCCAGAGCCCCGATAACCTGTTATGTTGACCGCAGCTCCGGGAAAAAGCAATGTACAATTGTGCACTACTATAGACTGTGCCATTATGATAGAGGTACTATTGTTATTCAATTGTCAGGTCTCATAATAATTTACTGAATAAAATAAGAAAGCAAGTTCTATAATCCTAACATCACACAATACATTGGAATGCCAGACATTCTATGAAAAGGACTATAAAATCCTTTGTGTACATAGTCTTACCACACTTTCTATTGCATAACATTTAATAAATAAAGTTGAGGAAACCGTAGGTGAAGGTGATCAAGAACTTGAATTAGCGGTTATGTAGCGTTTTCAAAGTGAGACAGACCTATATAAATTCATACCTATTATGTAGGTATGTACGTTGCCATAGCAACGTGTGACCTTTGATCTAAAGTTTCAAGTCAAGCCTTGAATCTACAATGTTTTCGATTTTCTTTCTTCAGGGCTTTTTCAATTTAATTAAACTTGAAGAGTTGATATAGGTAATCCACCGGCCGACTGATAATTACCCTGAATAAATAACTGATATTACACATCGGCCGATTCGATGGCATGATTGGCGCCGTGGTTTTGCAACCGGCTGCCGCGAAACGTGTTGCGGGTTCGATTCCCACACGGAGCAACTCATTGTGTGATCCACAAATTGCTGTCGGGAAGGGGTTTCAAATGTATGTGAACTTGTATGACTGTAAACGCACCCACGTCATAGGAGATAATGCCAGTGTGGGGCAACGTTTAAAAAAAACATAAACAACAAAAAACCCTGTTATATTTGGACACAAAAATACTCAATTTTAAAACTCCAGAAGAAGATAGGTTAATTTGTGAACCAGTTAAAAATTGTAATTCAATTTATATTCTTACCATCATAAGACCAAATTAGATCCGCAGTAGAAGCTTTGGTCTCAGGAGTCACATTTATAGCCACTATTTCTGTAAAATTAAAATTAAAGCATTGAATTTACCCAAAATAGTAGTCATTGTGATTGTGATCGGCCGGTACATGGCAATAGGAGCACTAAGAGGGAGGCCTTATTCCAGCAGTGGACGTCTTGTTGATGATGATGATGATGATATTGCGATGGGCTCACATCACACTGACTCTTAATGATTAAAAGTTGCGAAGTTATGCCAAGGTATTCCCGGTGGCTACAATCGTTCTTCAAGGAAGGAGTAAATAGGTTTATAAAGGGATGGCAAAACGCATGTAATAATCCTTGTGTTGCAAGCGTTCATAGGCCACGGTAACTACTTACCATCAGGTGGGCCGCGAGCTTTTATTGCCACCGTCGTGGTATAACAAAAGTTAACTATATTCGTTTAAATGAAACTATGGATTGTAAATTACAATTTCTCCAAGTTATCAGCACAGGCTTTCAGCAGGAACTTGATTAGGTACACAGGAACATAAATTGGGTCCGATCCGGTGTCGATAAAGAATATTTAAATGGGAAATAAATCTAAATAAATAATCAATTAATAACATCACGCTTTAAAAAGGTTTAATGAATAAATCATTCAAGTAGTAATGAAATAGGTATACAACCCTATAAAAGGGGAGCTTCCCGAGCGAACGAGCGATTATTAGTAGGTAATCGATCTGCAAAAGTATTTTAAATGTAAAAGTTTTATGAGTTTCCATTTTTTACGGAGAAGTGACTGATTAAGTGTTCCATTAAAATAATAAATGATTCAGTAAATGCCCATTTACTGACAGTGAACTTATGAAATGTCAAGAAAAGAATTTAGGTAGCCTGAATAAGACCTACAGGGAGCTGCTGGAAGCAGGTCGGTTCTAAGTTTGGAGTAATGTTCTATCCATCGATGTGAAAGTTATTGGGGAAGGTGTCTTCGAAAAGAGTACAGTGAGAGAGTAACCAAATCAGAGTTCCCTCTGAAACTCTGAGTTGGTTTCACCGAAAGATTAAACAGACGCACATATTGAAATAATGACCGCCTCGTTAGTCGAGTGGTTGCAAGTGCCACTCCCGGGTAAGAGGTCTAGGGTTCAATTCCCGGGTCGGGTAAATAACTACAGGGTTTAAAAAATGTTGTAGCGTGGAGTCTGGAATTGTGCCCGGTATATGGCAATCGTCTCACCCCCTATTACATGGGACTCATGACATAAATAGTGAAAATTGGGTGTTATATTTTACAGTGGCATTAAGTGTCGTAATGTACACCTTTGCCCTGAAAAGTGGGTGTTACATTGTACACAGTGGCATTAAGTGTACACCTTTGCCCTTTCTGGGATAAAAGGCGTGATGTTATGATGAAGACATATTAAAATATTATGTAACGTCCAGTTTTCAGACGTTATGTAGTAAGGGCGGTGAGACCAAAAAATCTAGCGTAAAACAATAGGTAAGATTACATCACATCTATTATCTGAAATCTAACAGGTGTACTATAAAATGTCTCATCTATTGTTCGTATCACGAAAACAAATCCATTGAAATCGATAATACAATCTACGTTTCGTTCTGTTATTGAGAATTTTGGAAATTAAATACGCATATGACCTAAAATTAGGATTACATCGTTGATCAAAGATTACGAAGATTAAATCATGTGTGAATTGAATTTTAGTGTGTGCTGTATAATTTATTTACAAAAAACTCTGTTATCAACTGACTTCAAACAAGGAGGTTCTATATTTGACCTGTATGTATTTCCTATGTATATGTGTGACTATCTCGCGATTGGTTGAATCCATTTTGATGTAATTCAGGAAGGTGTTTGTTACGACTGCCTCGTTGGCCGAGTGGTCGCAAGTGCGATTGCCGGGCAAGGGGTCTCGGGTTCGATTCCCGGGTCGGGCAAAGTATTACTGGGTTTTTAAAATCTCAGTTATAGCACGGATTCTGGAATTGTGTAATTGAACCCGAGACCCCTTGCCCGGCTGTCATAATTGCGACCACTGGGCTAACGAGGCAGTATACGTAAACTAAGACAAAAAAAAATCGACTTCAATGCCTTCTTTTTTGATGTCGATTAATTAATATACCAGAATCTTCTCCTGGATGTAACCTACACTTCTGAAAGCCGCAGCAAAATTGGTTAAGCCAATTGCGAGATAATCGTGCACAAATATACCTACATACATACAGGTCAAAATGAGAACCTCCTTTTTTATGTCATAAACCGGTAAACGAGCAGACGGAGCACCTGATGGTAAGCAATAGGCGTCGCCCATGGACACCTGGAACACCAGAGGCGTTACAAGTGCGTTTTAGGGATTAGGAGTTTGAGGATTCAGGGATTGGGGAGATTGAAGAATTGGGCCTCCGGTAACCTCACTCACACGACGAAGCACAACGCAAGCGTTGCTTCACGTCTCATTTCTGTGAGGCCGTGGTATCACTCCGGTCGAGCCCGCCCATTCGTGCCGAAGCATGGCTCTCCCACACTTAAAACTTTCCTTCTTTTTTGTAATCGGTTAAAGAAATATAATATGTATGGTCTTTTAAGGGTTTGGCGGCAGATTTACAAAATTCTTAATACACATTTTTCTACCTTGAATAAGTATGGCGAAATGCCCTATGCAAACTTCCACCCCCAATTTTAACGAATAGACAAAAACTAGCCTATGTTCCTTCAACTATCTCCACTTAAACATCACGTCAATTAGTGACTCCGTTTTGCCGTAAAAGACGGATTAACAAACAGATATACGCACTTTCACATTTATAGTAAGAAATGACGAGCATGCATGAAAAGACTGATGACTGTTGATGTAGCGAAAGAGGTATGTAAGAATTGTAGCAATTGGCGTTTGATAGTCTCTGCCTACCTCCTTGAGACTATATATGTATGTATGTTGTAAGTATGGAAGTAGATATGAATAACAGTTACGTATAAAGGTACAATTTCTTATTCTTAGGTAACAAACTAGCAGACGGATCACCTGATGATAGAAATCACCACCGCCCTTGGACATCCACGATAATAGTGGAGTTACAAGTGCGTTACTGACCCTTGGGTAATGAGCATTTCGGATGGGGGTTTTCCTGAATAAGGATTCCGGTAACCTCACTCACAGCGCGATGTGCAACTGAAGCGTTGTCTCTCGCCGGTTTTCTTTCAGGCCGTAGTTCTCCAGTCGAACCAGCTCATCGTGGCACTCACACGAGAAAATCTTATGCACAATTTACACAGAATCAAAAATTAACGTAACAGAAACACTTACCTAATAAAAACGGGGAGAGTATAAATACAAATATCAACATTTCCAAAAGTAATAGAAAAATATAAAAAAAATCGACTAAATTAAATATTTCTTTTAAAACAATCAATAAGGACTGCCATCGGGCTGAGGTGAACTCAGAATGAAGGTGTAACCTATAAATTGAATGGAGAGAGAAATTACATTGTTCTGCTAAAAGAAATAAAACAAAAGGCGATCGTCATACGATTCAGGTTTCTGATTTTTTTTTGTGAGTTTCGTAATGAATTCTCTCTTCCGATATTTTTGTGAAAATTCGACAATGAATGGGTGGAAATTCTTAAACTTGTGCGGTTCACAACACAATATGTAACATGTTCCTAAACATGCATTAACTCGTCGAGTACCGGTTTTGTAGACACAATTATAGAACAATA